CAAGTTTGTAGGCATTGAGGGATTTGTAACAGCCATCGTGGACCTGTTCCCCAGACACTTAAGGCGTGGTTATCGTAAAGAGATGTTCATCGCATTTATGTGCTGTATCTGGTTTCTCATTGGTTTGTCCATGGTTACTAAGGTACCTTCAAAAGCATAAATGATAAACGCAAAGATCTTGTGATATAACTTCCTGGAACTAAGTTACATGCATGCCCTTATTATGAGACTTGCAGGACGCGTGTTTCTCCGCCTACGAAAAGATTTGAGTCGAGTCGACGAGAGTTTTACCTCTGGGATCGGTGCCGGGGATCTGAGTGGCACTAATAATGAGACCTACATTCACTGCACACTTCTTGCCGGTTTGCGTTTCTCAAAGCCTCTTACTTATCCGCAGGCGAAGAAACTCTCGTACCGAGCTCTAATAGTAAGGGACCTTTAGCAAACCACGACGGCGACGACAACGAGGAAGTGGCAAAACAAAAGATCTAATGAGCAGAACAATAGCGCAGCTCGTGCGTTTTCAAAGTATGTACATTTCTTAGCCGTCCTCTGCAAAATGACAACGTGAAATCATCAAAATTTGCGTGGTCCGAGAAATGAAACCTCGACGGCAAATTATCTAAGTTTCTATTTGGAACTCAACGGTGTTCTCGTATGTTATGCTGAGTTTAACTTGCGGCACTGTAAGAGATGTTAATCATATCCACTCGTTCGCGAAATTCCAGCTAAAAATATATATTCATTTTTAAATCAACGTGCGCGTCTTCTTTGGCGTTGCCGTGTAACTGCAAAAGGTCTCTAATAATAGGGAGCTTAAGCAAACCACGACGACGGCAACGCGGACGCAAAGCAATACCTCGAAATCACCAAAATTTGCGTGACATAAGAACGGAAACTCTGACGGCAGATTATTTATGTTTCCATTTTGAACTCAACCATGCTCACATGCGTTAAGCGTAAGTTGAGGTGTGGCAACGTAAGAGATGGTAAACGCGTCTAGTCATTCGAGAAATTCTTACCAAAAATAAGAATTAGTTTTCTTAATTCAATTAACGTCTTCCTCGGCTTTCCCGTCCTGACTGCTTAAGGTCCTTAATGAGGGCCTCAACAAGCTCCTCTGAAAAGTAACTCTACTTTTTATACCAAATTCCTGGTTAATGAAACCCCGATCAAAAGCCTCCACAGAGTTTTTACTTCACTTAATATTCTCTCATGAGATTGATAATTTGCCAAAAAAACAAAATAATAAAAGATCATAGAACGTAAAAGCAAGTGATTTTTCTGTAGAAGCGCTAACTTACGAAGTATTTCTCTGTAGGAATGCGGAATATGTTTTATGACGACATTTGCCTTAGTTTTTAAGGGATATGTATTTTTATATAGTTACATACGATTAAGAAAATATTGAGCATATGTCTCTTACTTAGAACAAAGCAAACTGCTATTTTAAACATGACACGACAACCGCAATCGGCAAAAGCAGACATAAGCTCTGGTTTTTACGTATATAACTTTCCTCTAATCCTAAAACAACGCTATTGTGGTAGGACAGCAGTAAGACCTCTCTTTTAGCCTACATGCCAACGTTTCTCCTTGTTTCAACATACAAAACGACTTCAAAAATAGGTTAGAAGGTCACTATTATAACGAAATCTCAGGGCCCTGTGAGGATTCCGATCGAGCCTGTGTCGATTTCAAGTCTCAGTAATTTCACGATCAGACGAGCAACGAAGAAAGCGTCCGCGAGCTAGATCATATGATAGGTTATAATGTCATATTCACTTCTGCTCGTAGAATTGCAACCCGTGATTTTCGTTAAATGTGGATGTTGTTCTTTATTTTTCAGGGTGGGATGTACGTCTTTCAACTATTTGACAATTACTCCGCCAGTGGCTCTGCTCTTTTGTGGATCGCCTTGTTTCAAAGTATTGCCATTGGTTGGATCTACGGTAAGAAGATAAGAGTTGCAACCAGGAGTGGGGATGAAGGTTCTATTTATATGCCTGAGTTGACTAAAAGTGATCCTTATTAAAACGTTTGGATACAGAATATGCTTTAACCAGCCGTCCAAAGGAGTTTTACCCTCCAATGAACGTTACGATAAGTTAGGGGGCTGTGCGATTCCACAGTCCACGTTTCCTTCGATCATGCGCGCGTTTTCCATTGTCTCAGTATCTCGTATGAACCGACCCAATTCGATTGGTTTTCCGACAGGTGGTGAACGTTTCTATGACGATATGGAGAATATGATTGGATTTCGTATTAACCCGTGGCTCAGGTGGTGCTGGATGATATTCACACCTATTTTCTGTTTGGTAAGACAAAATATTTACTTATCAGTCTCAGAATTCATTCTCAGTTTCATTATTAAACGTAATAGAGAGGGGGAAAGGCAATGACTTTATTAGATACATTTTACCGTGACGTTTAACACATTGGCATCTGGGTCAAGAGGGTCTCTGTTAAGCCTTGGCCAGAATGGAAATCTTAATCTAAGAAAATTAAGTGCATGTCTTCTTTTGTAGCAATTCCATTCCATAGCGTTTCTTGATTTCTTTATTGCTTGAATGTCGATCTTTTTCTTCGCCAAGTTTGCAAAAAAAAAATGTATATGGTTTATAGCCATTGTTAATCGTAGACGAAATTGTATGTACGTTCCTTTTAAGAGTTTTAAGACACATTTCTATATGCTGATCACAGTTCAGTGATAGAAATGGGAGTCACCCCACTCGTTTTGTGTTGGAGGTACATAAAGCAGAACAGTAGGGGTAACCTGAATTAGTTGAGAAATTATCACAAATTGTTGAGAAATAATTAAACATTTTTTTGTATGACTTTCAGGGAAATGAAAAGAAAAACCGTTGAAGCTACAGTCTATCAAAGAGTAGCTGAATAAAAAATGATAACAAAATTATTTCGAGCCACCTGAAGGATTTTATCTTTTTTGTCCATAGGGTGTTTTCATTTTTAGTCTAGTGACGTATTCGCCTCTAGAATACAACGGTTACAAGTATCCTGACTGGGGAGAAACCATAGGCTGGATCATGGCTTTGTCTTCAATCGTGTGCATTCCAATTGTGATGATATACAAGTTGGCCACAACACCAGGCTCTCTTAGAGAGGTAACTACTACATTAGTGTTTACTAACCTTTAAGGGGAGAATGAGAAACATGTTTGAAAAAGAAATGTGCTAACCTCAAATACGATGCGTGACTGAAAAACTAGTGATTGAAACGCCGGAAGTTGACTTACATGAGTTTTAGATGAAAAAGTTTCAATTCTCACTAAGTCTCCTCATTTTCCTTTGTACACACCAAGTACAATCATGATATTATGCGTCTGTATATTTTATCCCCAATGTAAGCAAGGCATTATGAATATGTCTTGCATATATTGGAGGAACCTCAACGGTTGCATTGAGAAGTATTGTGCTCGTCTCACAATAATTCGACCGGCTATACTCGAAAGTTGCTGAGGTCAGGGCTCGGGCTTTGTTGCAGAGTCCACACCGGTCAGCATTCCAGCTCTGGTCAGTTATTGTATTCATTGACGAGACACTTTTGTATCCAGCTCTCCTTAACCAAGAATTAATTAGCCATTTTTACGATCAACTCTACGTTCCCACAGCCGTAGCCTTGACTTACTGGTTAAGATCCAAGTATTTCGATGACATGACAAGTCTTCTAATAATTTTACTCGCTATACGTAAGCATACTTAGTCGCGAGTGATGACAGCAATCTTTTACATCTTGTTGTAATGAAAATTCCTCACGGAAAATAAGAATCCTATAGAATTTGCATCAACCCCCAACTAATGGCTTCGTTGCTCAGTTGGTACATAGTGGTGACCAACAATTATCTGGGAGACTTATCCTTACACCATCTAACTTATTCATGAATTTCTTTCATTTTCGTCAACAGCGTTGGGATACCCTGACCACGCCCAATCTAAAGAATCAGTCTCCAGAGGCCAAAGGCCACGATTTCTCTCAGGGATCTTACAAACTCCAAACCACGACATCGCTTTGAGGGGATATACATATGACTTGGACTTTTCTCAGCTATAACGTGTTTATAGGGACTTTAAGGAAACCTCAACAGCAATGGAAACCAGAAAGTGACGAAATAAAAGAATTAATCCTTTCATTCTAACATACGTAAACATATTCCCCGCACTTTGCTTTTTGAATTTCTTAAGGTTCTGACAAAGAAAATTTTTTCGGCAATCAAGAGCTCTTAAATTTGTGATCACTTTCTTTATCCTCGTGACCTTAATGTCTGATTCAGGAGTGATATTTTAAGGTTAAATAAAAAACGATTTGCTAAGAGCGGCTCCTTAGCTACAAAAATGTGCGCAAGAACTAAATTCCACACTAAACATAGCAACTAGATAAGAAAATAATGGATTAGATGCCAAAGTCCATACTTATGATACGGCTAGCTTAACTTGATCATGTAAATATCATTTGTCCGTTAGAGGAAAGCAATCATTAGACACATGTTTTATTACCTACTTTAAATGAGTGTAAACCTTTTCTTCCTAAAGTTTTAAAATAAATTCCTTTAGAAACTAGTATTTGTTTGGTGCACCATTGTCACTTTTTCTTGGATACGACCACTCCTTCTTTTTGTTCTCCGATAATCAGAAGAGCTAAACGTTATTTTTACATGACTACAACTACTTCAGGCTCAAGCTTACTAATATTTATCGTTTGAATATCTTTTAAAATTATTCAAAAAAAAACAAATTTATCATATTCAACGAAAAGAAAACTTGTCGAAAAGCACAACAAACGCGTTAATCGTAAGATTTTTTGCTTCTCAAAGCTGAAATAAACTCATACACGTAATCAGCTCTCACAAGCACTTGATAGGTCGACCTACCAGAAAAGAAAATAGTTAAAATAGAAAACCTCCTTTCCAATTCTTATGGACATTTGTCATTCAAAGCATGATTTATGTATATGGAAATAAGATGGAAATTTGAAGCGTACGCACTCATTATGAAGGAGTTTTTCAACGGCACACAGTTGAGTTGAACCACTGCCCGTTATCAATGGATAATAAAGTCAATAAGCGGGAAACTTGGGGCAAGACGATCGACTTTGTTCTTGCCCTCGTAGGGTTCTCTGTTGGACTGGGAAACATTTGGCGCTTCCCGTACCTTTGCTATAAAAATGGTGGAGGTGAGTGTAGATGGCGTCAGGACGGTTGATGACGATTATTGTAAATTTACTTGTATTATGTAAATGCTGGTGCTTTTGATAATCTGGCGAAACTACATTCGTTTCCATTTGATTATGTTCGAATAAAGCGCGAAGGAGCAACTGCAGAATACCGTGCCACTTTGGTCCACTTCATTTATATGCGTCGGGACGCTTCCAAGATGGAGGCATAACACAATAAACGTTATTCTTTTTCAGTGACATTTAAATGAGTGGCAGGGTATTCTGCAGCTTAGCCAGCTTGAAAAACAGTTCGTAAAATATATCTTTGGTCAACCTTGTTTTGGCATCCATTCACCACATTATACTGAGATGCCTCCGTCCATGCGTCACTCACGTCAAGGCCATACACGTGTCTCACAAGCCTACGGCTATAAACTTTACTTGATTAGATTTGAAAATTTTATCTAGTGGCCTCGTGATGTGCTTAACAATGAATCTGAAAACTGTTTCTTTCTGTATTTCTGAGACCAACTGAGAAAGCGAGTAATCCCATCGGTCAAACTTGTTCTGAAGGGCTCCATTCACGTCGTGCCTCAACACTCGGCTGCAAACTTTATTTAATTACATTTGAGAACTTTAAGTAGTTGCCTTATGATGTACCTGACACTGAATTTGAAAAAATTTGTCTTGCTGAGAGCAACAAACATTTCTGTGACTAGAGTATAACTTTAGGCGCGATCGAACAATCGTTTAAGAACGTTTACAAAGACTGCAATAGAGCTAATACTTATGCAAAACAGTGACGTCTTTGAAACTTTAGCAATGGCTTGAGGGCTAGTGTTTTAGTACATTATTAATCACCCTCCCTCTATAAGCTTGAAAACTTTTCTTTTCGTTGTCAAGATCAGAAATCGAAAAGTTTTTTTTGCATACATGGAAAAATACAAATATGTAGATTTTAACTGAAACCACTCCTAGTCCACTCTACACTGCTTCCATTTTGAAATAGTCAAGATGTAATTGTTCCAGCTCCTGAATATATTTCACTTTCCTTTTGTTTGGATGGTCTTTTACCTCGAGCGATTTATCGTCGTTTTAAGATAAAAAAAATTGCCTTGACAACGAAGCTAACCAGTGTATATTATTTAAGAATTATAAACAGCAAGTTTTTCTTTACAATTGAAAATTATTTGATGATTCAAACGCAATGAACAGGTTTTCGTTAAGAGGTGCACTCGACAAAGAAAGCCTCTGGCTGATGTGTTTTCCATTGAGTTGTGATTAGTTCTTGATTCATTATCCACATTTTTGTTTTGTTTGCATGCGTTACCGGGTACCTCATGTAGGATGCTTTCTGATCCCGTACCTAATTTGCCTCATTTTTGCTGGTGTCCCTGTTCTTATCCTGGAAGTTTGTCTGGGGCAGTTTGCAAGTCAAGGTGGAATTACAGCATGGCTGATATGTCCGCTTTTTCAAGGTTTGTTTTAATCAGCTAAAAGATATGTAATAACTCGGTTTTAACGTTGGTTTTTGTCCCGTTGGGTGTGGCAAACGACGATCAAGAAATCATGATTATAAGTTTTCTCGTAACTCTGTTAGTGATAATGAATGAAGATTGTAAGTTTTTAAAGGAAACTGTGGTGCTGTGTCGGTAGGTTGGGGAAGGGGGGATATCACGATATAATTTGGACCTATCAGCTGAGTTTATAATGAAAAATGGCCACCGTAAAAAGATTTTAAGGCAAAGAGATTCTAACGTTTCGAGCATCAGCCCCCATTTACCATAAATGTTTAAAAGAGCGAAGCATTGCTAATACGTGACCACTAAATAACGTGAAAATAAGTTACATCAATAAAAAATTCGAGGGAAGAGAAGTAAAAATGGTTGATGTAATATTCTGAATACCTTTTACCTTGTAACTTAGTGCCGAGATCTTGCTAGCGCCAAGTAAGAAGTTTATCTCGATTAATGATTTTCAAGTTGTACTCAAGAGATATCGCAAGTTGATATTTTCTTGTTGTACTACACTACACTGAGCCTCGGAAATCTTCCACCGTTCGTTCCACCAGCTGTTCCACTCTGTTTAACAGAGAGTTTAATGGGAAATGGCTTTCATGGGCTTTCATTGTAATAGTGGAAAGATATACCTACAATTAGGCATTTTCTTTTACCTTCTGCTGCTTTTTGTCGGCGAGATGATGATCTTTTTCACTTGTAAAATATAAATATGAAAACGATCTTCGCAGTGATGAATACTACTTAAGCAGTAGTAAAAGTAAGGAATAAAAAAATTTCAGACCAATAAAGGATTTGAACCCATGATATCTTATATCATGGGTCATATCATATATATATATATATATATATAGATATATAAACAGTTGAATTTTGATTTCATTGCAGGCATTGGATGGGCAAGTGTTATCATCGTTCAGTTTTTAAACATATATTACATCGTCATCCTCGGGTGGGCTCTGTTTTACATGTTCGCGTCTTTCCAATCCAAGCTTCCTTGGTCTCGCTGTGGCAATGAATGGAACACACCGAATTGTGTTGACTATATCACATCTGAAAAAGGCTCCAGTATAGCCAATACTACAGTCATACCAACCGTAATGGCGAACATGTCAACAGTGCCAACTGCAGTGGCAAAGGCAGCTAAAGTGTCTGCGAGTGAGGAGTATTTTGAGTAAGTGAAGCTGTAAAGTAGTTAAGTATTAACCCTTTGACCTTTAAGAGTGACTTATCACCCCTGACTCAAACATTAAGGTCACGAGAATTAAAAATTGATCACAAACTAAGGAAGCTCTTGATTATCGGGCAGTTGGTGAGTCGGTGAGTCATTCATGTAGTAAATCAGCGGGTCGGTGAGTTGGAAGATTAGTCAGTCAGTCAGTCGGTTATTTGGTCAGTCAGTCAGCCTGTCGGTCAGTTGTTCAGTCAGTCTATTGGTCAGACGGTCAGTTGGTCAGTCAGTCAGTTAGCCAACCAGCCAGTCAGTTGGTCAGCCGGTCAGTCAGTTTGTCAGTTAGGCGGTCAGTCAGTCAGTCAGCTATTTGGTCAGTTGTTCAGTCAGTCTGTTGGTCAGTTGGTCAGTTGGTCAGTTGGTCAGTGGGTTAGTCAGTCAGTCAGTCGATTAGTCAGCCGGTGGGTTAGTTGGTCAGTCAGTCAGTCGGTCATTCATTTGGACAGGGAAGAAAACTATTATTATTTTTATGCAGGCTGTCAACAATTTGAACAATTTAACAAATATATCTTGTAGGCAAGTTCATAAGTCAACCGAGTACCGAGATGATTTCCAATTACACTACTTACCTCTCTTTCTAGACATAGAGTTTTAAAGCTGAGCACTGCTTTGGATGAACCCGGCATAGTAAACTGGGATGTAGCTTTGTGTCTCTTGTTGGCTTGGATTATCTGTTACCTCTGTGTTTTCAAAGGTGTCAAATCCACAGGAAAGGTGAGGGAGCTGTAATCTTAACATTTTTAATTTTCTTGCTCTCTTAGGTTGCCTCTCATAGATAGAATTTAGTTCAATGAATGTAACCGAAGAAGTTACAATTCATAGACCCAACGTTTCGACACTCCTGTCTAATGCCTTCATCAGGGGTGATCTAAACGCTGTAACAACAGGTCCTTTTATATGATCACTAGCTGACTAATTGACGAGGTGTAAATAGGCGTCAGGAAGTAAGCCGCCATTATCACGACTTAACGGAGCGTGGGCGGAGTTAATATGCCCAGCTTCCAAACAAAGGCGCTGGTAGTAACGCCAATACGTGGTGATAATTTTAGAATTATCCCAAAAGAAAACCGCTTTTTGATGCTCTTTCAAACGTGTACCAAACTGATGTTTGGGCTGTCCTAGACATAAAAAACGGTTTTCTTTTGCAAAAGAGAAAATTCAGCTTTATCGGAGCACACATGCCTAACTAACCAGGCGTTTAGATCACCCCTGAACGTTGGGTCTATGAACTGTACCTTCCTCGGTTACATTCATTAAATCTGTAAACCAGAGTTTAAGGGACTTTTAAATTTTACTCACTTGTTTGAGAAAATTTCCATTATAGGAAACGTATCTAACTTTTTGTTTCTAATTGATGTTCTTACAATCCAGATTTACTAATAAAACTCCCTCAAGAGCTTCCTCGCGAACTGAATTTTTATCATCCCTCATTAAAAGCTAAATTCGAAAGGGTCAAGGAATATCTAAATTATATTAAATCTTTTAACTGTCACTTCTTTCTGGCCTTTTTAGATATTCTTTCACCCGAATCATTTCTTAGGATGATCTTAACACAGTTAATTTAAAACTTATAATTATGCCGTTTTCGTCTCGTCACCACGATGAATCGAAACTCAGACCTACGCATTCTGATACTCATCCTCTGATCTTCGGGGAACTTTATGGCGAGCTACGCCATTACAGTTCACTTGATACGCGCCCTGTTTACGGCTAGGATTAGCAATATCGACAGCTTCGTATTAGTAAACAGAATAGGTAGAGAAAGATGTTTCATTTTAAGGTTAGTTTGGTTAAATCATTTTTCGAATGATATATCGTAAAATGAAAACCGAAATAAAAATAAAAATTGATTAGCACATTGAAATTAAACCAGTGCAATCTCGATTATGTGCGACCCTCAATTCGTTAATTCTCTTTCTCAGGGTTCGATTTAACTGCGTAACTCTTATGTTAATAGATAGCAGGTGTTAACATCCATTGACACAATACCAACGACTTATCCACGACATTTACACCATAAACCGGCGAACCGAACAGAACGACAACATTACCAACGGATCCAAACTGACCAGTCGTGATCTATTACGCCATTCGAGTCTTATTGCCGATAAATCACGGCTAAACTGACCAATCAGCTTACAAGAGCAGGACTTATTACCACTCGACTGACAAATACTCATCACTTGATTCTGATGATGACTTCCGCTTAGGTTGTCGAAACGTCGGTCACTTCTACCGACAATAGTCTTTCTCGGGACTACCCTCACCAAGACGATTAAACCACAACTTCAAATGTTACATCTGGATTTAAACCATTTATTGTAGAGACAACAATATTGGCCAATATAACTAGCTAACAACAACGGCACAATTATAAAAAAAGAAAAAACAGCAACAACAACAAGCAAACATACGGACAGGTAAAGGAACACATCATTACATGAACGATATGTTTCACAGGTTGTCTACTTCACTGCCACATTTCCTTATGTACTTTTGACGATTTTACTCGTTCGAGCCGTCACTTTACCTGGTGCTGCTGAAGGGATCAAGTTTTACCTCACTCCAAATTTTACTCGACTGGCTGATGGTCAGGTGAGAAATGATGAAGAAATTTTTAAAAACTGAAATTGAATGGGCCAAGTCAAAAAGAATATATATTTTTTAATTATTTATGAACTCTAAGCTTTAAGAGGGTCTCAATGGGTTAGGCGTAAAAATTGACAATTTTAGACCGTTATTCGTAAAAAATGTTTACCGTAAAAATTGTTCTTTTAATTGCAACGGGAAAAAACTGACTGTTAGCTGTTAATGGGCCAAAATTTTAACTGTTAGCCGTAAAAGCTATTACCCCATTGAGACCTACCTTTAAATTAAAGTTTACACTTGGTCATTTATTTACTCTTAGTTTTTGTTCAAACTCGAAGGTGTGGCTTGATGCTGGAACGCAAGTGTTTTTTTCATATTCTATTGGACTTGGAACGTTGATTGCCCTCGGGAGTTACAACAGATTCCATCACAACTGTTACAGGTTAGAAAACACAAGAAAATTTGCTTGGTTTCTTTGCCAAGAGTATCGCCTCTTGTCTACTTGGTGACGTTTCGATAACCTTTCCACAGTTCTAGCTGAGATATTATGGCTTCGTTTCTATGGGACTACATATAGCGAAACTGAGCTTTCAATCAGCAAATTTGCTCACGTTTTTAAAACTCGAAGCTGCTTTGGAGAATCCAATTTAAGAACACAGTGACACCATTGATAGGATTTTATAATGAAGAGTCAAAGGGGTCGAACACCTGTATCTATTTAAAACCCAGTTACCTAGTATTTAAAGCGGTTTTCAGCTGATCGTAGATTGCTTTGTTTAAGTCTTCTTAACTTTTCCCGTAATTGGTCTAAAAACTCTCGCCACCACCTCGGTCAATCAAATGCAAAACTAAAGCCAATCTCAACTTGGTTACTCGCGTTTTCCCGCGCTTTACGCAGGGTGCCTGATTTTATTTTGAGTTCCCATTGGTTCATGGGGATTCCTCCCTTTTTCTGATTGGTTTCTGTGTTTACTTGGGTTTTGGTTTCCGGCTCTCAATTGAAAACTGCTCTATAAAATTAAATTCTGAATAAATAAAAAGCAGAAGTGCAAGCTTGGATGTCTTGTTTATTTAGCGAAGATTTGTGTTAAACATTTTAACTTAACAATTAATGCTATTTCTCGCACAGGGACAGCATAATATTCGCTTGCGTAAACAGTGGAACAAGTTTCTACGGCGGTTTTGTGATATTTTCAGTTCTTGGCTTCATGGCTCAGAAGCAAGGGGTTGAAGTGAAGGACGTGGCAAAAGGGGGTAAGAAAAGACAGGTAGAGCCTGGGTAGAGCAATTTTCAAACAATTGCTGAAACCAACTCGAGATTGCATTGGATTTGCCTTCCATCCCTATGTAATTAGTCCAGAAAACTCGCTCCACTCTCGCATATGTTTATTAGTTCATTAAGTTGTATCTTCTCAAACTTTGTTTGAGAAGATCTTACTTAAATATGAAAGCGATCTTCACAGTAATGAGCACTACTTAAGCAGTAGTGAAAAGAAGGCCTGAAAAAAATTCAGGCCTGTACGGGATTTGAACCCATGACCTCTGCGATACTGGTGCAGTGCTCTACCAACTGGGAGCTAGTCACTGTATTGGTTCCAAATAAACCCGTGAAGTGGTGAATTAAGGACCGTGAAGATCGCTTTCATATTCACGTCTTTATCCGCAGTTCAAATATATGACTTTCATGTATTCACAGCCGTTCAAGATCTTACTTGTTGCCTCATTCAGAAGATATTGGTTATGTCACGATAAAATTTACCTGATCCCTCGGGCTCTATAATATACATATTATCCCCCCTCGTTGGCAGTTCATCGGAAATCAAATTTTCTTAAGTCCCCTGTCTACACTATGTTGGTGGCGAGTAATCCCTCCGTTTCCCCTGAAAACCATGAGATCCCCTCCCAAATCCTCCAACATCCCCTTACTAGTCTCTAACTCATCACATCGCCTCCTCCCTAGGTCCAGGACTTGCATTCATCGCTTACCCAGAAGCCGTTGCTCAGATGCCTTTGGCCCCTCTATGGTCGGTGCTGTTTTTCTTTATGGTCTTCTTGCTGGGACTCGACAGCGAGGTACTAGAGTAAATTTGCAGTTTATCAAACTTTGAACTGGATATCTTGTGTGTTTTACAAGTTTGTGCATAAACATTGCAGAAAACATGAAGGCGCATATTATGATAATGACCTCTAATTTTTGTCTTATTTCAAGTTTGTGGGCATTGAGGGATTTGTAACAGCCATTGTGGACCTGTTCCCCAGACACTTGAGGCGTGGTTATCGTAAAGAGATGTTCATCGCATTTATGTGCTGTATCTGGTTTCTCATTGGTTTGTCCATGGTTACTAAGGTACCTTCAAAAGCATAAAAGAAAAACGTAAAGATCTTGTGTTATAACTTTCTGGAACTAGGTTACAAGCAGGCCCTAACGATGAGCCCTGCAGGACGTGTGTTTTTCGCCTGCGAAAAGATTTGAGTCGAGTCGGCGAGAGGTTTACCTGTGGGATCGGTGCCGGGGATCTCAGTGGCACTAATAATGAGACTTACACTCACTGCACACTTCTTGCTGGTTTGCGTTTCTCAAAGCCTCTTACTTTTCCGCAGGTGAAGAAACTCTCGTGCCGAGCACTAATAGTAGGGACTTTTAGCAAACCACGACGGCGACGACAACGAGGAAGTAGCAAAAAAAAAGATCTAATGAGCAGAACAATAGCTCAGCTCGTGTGTTTTCAAAGTGTGTACATTTCTTAGCCGTCCTCTGCAAAATAACAACGTGAAATCATCAAAATTTGCGTAGTCCGAGAAAGGAAACCTCGACGGCAAATTATCTAAGTTTCCATTTGGAACTCAACGCTGTTCTCGTAGCTATGCTGAGGTTAACTTGCGGTACTGTTAGGAATGTTAATCATATCCACTAATTTGCGAAATTCCAACAACAAATATAAATGCATTTTTAAATCGACGTCTTCTTTGGCGTTGCCGTCGTAACTGCTAAAGGTCTCTAATAATAGGGAGCTTAAGCAAACCACGACGACAGCAACTAGAACGAAAATAACACCGCGAAATCGCCAAAATTTGAGGGACAAACTCCGACGGCAGGTCATTTATGTTTCCATGTTGAACTCAACTATGCTCACATGCGTTAAGCGTAAGTTGAGGTGTGGTAACGTAAGAGATGGTAAACCCGTCCAGTCATTCGTGAAATTCTTACCAAAAATAAGATTTAGTTTCTTAATTCAACAATGTATTCCTCGCCTTTCCCGTCCTGGCTGCTTAAGGTCCTTAATGAAGACCTGAACAAGCTCTTTTGAAAAGTAGCTCTACTTTTTATATCAATTATAAAAATTCCTGGTTAATGAAACCCTGATCAAAAGCCTCCACAGAGTTTTTACTTCATTTAAAATTCTCCCATGAGATTGATGATTTGCCAAAAAAACAAAAAAATAAAAGATCATAGAACGTAAAAGCAAATGATTTTCTGTAGAAAGGCGAACTTACGAAGTATTTCTCTGCAGGAATGGAATATGTTTTACAACGACATTTGCCCTAGTTTTAAAGGGATATCTATTTTTATACAGTTACATACGATTAAAAAAATATTGAGCATATGTCTCTTACATGCAACAAAGAAAAGTGCGATTTTAAACGACACCACAACTGCAATCGGCAAAAACAGATATAAGCTCTGATTTTACATATTTAACTTTCCTCTAATTCTTAAAACAACGCTATTGTGGTAGAATAGCAGCAAGACCTCTCTTTTAGCGTAAATGCAAACGTTTCTCCATGCTTTAGCGTAGAAAACAACTTTAAAGGTTAGAAGGTTGATATTATAAAGAAATAAAATCTCAGGGCCCTGTGAGGATTCCAATCGAGCCTGTGTCGATTTCTCAGTAATTTCACAACCAGACGAGCAACGGAGAAAGCGTCAGCGAGCTTGATCATATGATAGGTTATAATGTCATATTCACTTCTACTCATACCTTTGTGGAATTTTAGCCCGTGATTTTCGTTAAATGTTGATGTTTTTCTTTAATTTTCAGGGTGGGATGTACGTCTTTCAACTATTTGACAATTACTCGGCCAGTGGCTCTGCTCTTTTGTGGATCGCCTTGTTCCAAAGTATTGCCATTGGTTGGATCTACGGTAAGAATATAATAGTTGCAACCAAAAGTGTGGACGGAGGTTCTGTTTATACGCCTGAATTGACTAAAAGTGGTCTTTTTAAAAACGTTGGAATACAGAATATGCTTTTACCAACCGTCTCAAGGAGTTTTAACCTCCAATGAACGTTACGATAAGTTAGGGGGCAGTGCGATTCCACAGTCCACGTTTCCTTTAATAATGTGCGCGTTTCCGTTGTCTTGGTATCTTGTATAAACCGACCCAATTCTATCGGTTTTCCGACAGGTGGTGAACGTTTCTATGACGATATGGAGAATATGATTGGATTTCGTATTAACCCGTGGCTCAGGTGGTGCTGGATGATATTCACACCTATTTTCTGTTTGGTAGGACAAAATATTTACTTATCAGTCTCAGAATTCATTCTCAGTTTCATTAAGAAACGTAATAGAGAGGGGGAAAGGCAATGACTTTATTAGATACATGTTAATTTGCCGTGACGTTTAACACATTGGCATCTGGGTAAAGAGAGTCTGGCTTGAGCCTTGGCCAGAATGGAAATCTTAATCTAGGAAAATTAAGTGCATGTCTTCTTTTGTAACAATTCCATTCACAGCGCTTCTTGATATTTTGATTGCTTGAATGTTGATCTTTTTCTTTGCCAAGTTTGCAAAAATCTTTCCATACGGTTTAGAGCCATTTTAAATGGTATGTACGTTCCTTTTAAGAGTTTCGTAGAAAGACGCATTTTATATGCTGATCGCAGTTCAGTGATAGACCCCACTCGTTTTGTGTTAGAGGTACAAAAAACAGAACAGTAGGGGTTTTCAAAGGGGTGGCAGCGTTGTTATGGTAACCTTAATTAGTTGAAAAATGATCACAAATTGTTGAGAAATAATGAAACATTTTTTTGATATGAGTTTCAGGGAAATGAAAAGTAAAAGCGTTGAAGCTACAGTCCATCAGAGAGTAGCTAAATAAAAACGATAGGAAAATTATTTCGAGCCACCTTGAGGATTCCATCTTTTTTGTCCACAGGGTGTTTTCATTTTTAGTCTAGTGACGTATTCGCCTCTAGAATACAACGGTTACAAGTATCCTGACTGGGGAGAAACCGTAGGCTGGATCATGGCTTTGTCTTCAATCGTGTGCATTCCAATTGTGATGATATACAAGTTGGCCACAACACCAGGCTCTCTAAGAGAGGTAACTTTTAACGGGAGAATGTGTTGTTGATACCATGTTTGAAAAAGAAATGTTCTAACCTCAAATACGATGCGCGAATGAAAAACTTGTGATTGAAACGTCGGCAGTTGATTTTCATGAGTTTTAGATGAAAACGTTTCAATTCTCACTAAGACTCCTCATTTTCTTTTGTACACACCAAGTACAATCATAAAATTATGAGTCTGTATATTTTATCCCCAATGTAAGCAAGGCATAGTGTACATGTCTTGCATATATTGGAGGAACCTCAACGCTTTCATTGAGAAGTAATATGCTCGTCTCACAATAATTCGACCAGCTATACTTGAAAGTTGCTGAGGTCAGGGCTCGGGCTTTGTTGCAGAGTCCACACCGGTCAACATTCCAGCTCTGGCCAGTTATTGTATTCATTGACGAGACACTTGTGTCTCCAGCTCTCCTTAACCCAGAGTTAATTAGCCATTTTTACGATCAACTCTACGTCCCCACAGACGTAGCCTTGACTTACTGGTTGAGATCCAAGTATTTCGATGACATGACGAATCTTCTAATAATTTTACTCGCTATACGTACACATACTTAGTCGTGAGTGCTGACAGCAATCTTTTACATCGACTTGTAATGAAGATTCCTCACGGACAATAAGAATCCCATAGAATTTGCGTCACTCCCAACGAATGGCTTCGTTGCTCAGTTGATACGTAGTAATGGCCAACAATTATCTGGGAGACACGGGTCCCTTCGGAGCCTGAATCTTTTTAGGATTTTCCTGCAATGGCTAAAACTCCAACACTTCTGCGAGGATCATTTATTTTCGTGATCTCTTACATCATCTAACTTATTCATGCATTTCATTCATTTTCGTCAACAGCGTTGGGATACCCTGACCACGCCCAATCTAAAGAATCAGTCTCCAGAGGCCAAAGGCCACGATTTCTCTCAGGAGTCTTACAAACTCCAAACCACGGCATCGCTTTGAGGGGATATACATATGATTTGGACTTTTTCAGCACGACAGCAATGGAAACAAGAAAGTGGCGAAATAAAAGAATTAATCCTTTCATTCTAACATACATATACATATTCCCCGCACTTTCCTTTTTAAATTTCTTAAGGTACTGACAGAGAAAATTTGTTTGGCATTCAAGAGCTCTTAAATTTGTGATCACTTTCTTTATCCTCGTGACCTTGATGTCTGATTCAGGAGTGATATTTTAAGGTTAAATAAAAAGTCAGTTACTCTGAGGGGTTAAAAAAATAAGGAGCTTAATAAATAGCTCAGCACTTGCGTTTTAAAACTTTCTGCATTCCTCAACGCTGTTCGCATAATATTGTTGTGCTGAAGTCGCAGTAAGTAGCGATAAAGAGGATACCCAAATCAAACAGTTCACAGAAATAAAAATTACAAATTTAGATGTCCATGGAGGGTAGTTTTTTTCCGGCAAAATGGGGGAAAGTATAGCTAAATGAGGATGATAATGATGACACTAGTACAGTAACAAAGGAATTCTACATTGTCTTTCAATTTTTGAAATTTAATGACAATATGCACATCATTGCATTTATGTAAGTAATGGAAGTAATAAAGGTAACATGAAAAATATTCTGTAACCACCATGATTGTTTGAACAAATTAATACGAATATCAGATACAATTTAGGATTTGAATGTAAATATATTCCAAAAGGATGACCGTTGCCCAACGGTTCCGACAATGATTAAAATAAACAGTTACAGGGTTTTTGAAATGATAAAAACCAGTCGATGCTGAAAGGAAGTTGATTTCGAAGTTCAAAAATGAAAAATTTATATAACTCGAATACAAGAGTGACGTAATCACTGATGCCTCGGGGACCCTAAATGAGCCAGACGGCAACGTCGTGAAAAACGATTGAAATATAATTGCACCTTTTTCGAAATATTCACCGCAATTGTGCCAGGTAGAGCATAATTCCTAGAAGAATCAGACGATTAGTTTCTGGCCGAGAACGTAGGCTGTTCAGAACCAATAACATTAGCACATTTTTACTGAAACGAATGAAGGGCTGTCTTTTTATTACTATCAAATGAGAAATGAAATTGGATGAATAATACCTGGAAAAATGCCAAAATTTTAATCCCTAAGTATTGGAAATAAACGAATCAAGTATTGAGATTGTGTTAAATACTCAACCCTAATGCGAAATGCTTTCTAAAGCATAGAGGTATATAAGGTCAGGGAACTGGAGAGCTAGGATCACTACAAGAACTTCGAATCGATTCGGCAAAGTTGTGAAGATTTAGGATGTGAATGCCGAAAGTTCAAATCAAATGCGTGGTAATCTTTCCCACAGTTAACCAAGCAACCTCGAAGAACAACCTCTCATTTGCTAAGGCTTTTTTTCCTTTCTCATTTTTATTTATGCCATTATCAATCTCTCTCCCTGGTACTTCTATATTTCGGTGCTCATTCTGGCCAATCACTTGATAATGGAAAACTAACCCGCCTATCCCGTTTATACTTGTATTCCTTTTGTTGGGAATGACCACGCATTCTCTCTGCTGTGCGTTTCTTCTAATTTCGTTATATTTTCCTTTCAAAAGAAAATAATTATAAGTAATCGTCATTTTCACGTTCTTGTTTAATTCATGTATCAATAAAACTTTGAGATAGAGCTCTATCGTAATTTATGCAAAGTTTTAATATCTCGCGCATGCGCAGACAAAATGCCAATCGCTGACTGGTTACGAAAAGCATACGCAAATTTCTCTCTTGTCGAATTTCGTGGTAATAAGGGAACGAAGCTGTATATTAAAGATTTTTCGATTCACGCCATCAATTCAGTGGATGCGGCCTTATCTACTCAGAGTTTACACATAAGTGGCTCTATTTCAAAATCGAAATGGAGGTTCTCCAGCAATGAGGTGAGTAATGTTTCAGAATATACTACACAAGCTGAATAACTAACACAAACAATAATACTTAGCATAGAGCTGGTGAGTGTTCTTCTTGTTTCGAGCAACTATGAGATGCTTAAGGAAGGATTTATAGGTGCAAGTTCTGAATTAGAACCATGCGAACGTGCATTTTGAATTGAAAAACGTAAACTTAGCCGCCAGTCTCGGGTGTTGGATCTCTCGCCGACAAATTTTCCACAACGTTTGAAGATAAATAGACTAGCGAATACATGAGTTCTACTGGTACGTTATATGTTCGAGCCATCTGAGCTTAATGGCCGCAACGTCCGTGGAGTATCGAACAAGAAGCCGTTGGATCCTGAAAAAATATATAAGATTAGAGAGCTTGTCTACTAGTATTTTCTGACACACCTCGTCTGAACGTGAGCTAATTCGGCGTGACTTTCGAAAGGCCATAGATACCTATCTGCGTTCGCGTGAGCCAAAGACACTCAAACATGAAATGAATTATAGGAAACAATTAAATTATTTAAACGAAAACTGAGAAATATTTTAGCGCCGAATAAAAGTAAACAAGACCTATGGGCGAAAGTTGATATAGCCAACTTCTCGATCGAGTCGCATCTTTCATAATGATTTCAAATTCTTCAGACGAAGTTGTCGTGATCTCAGACTGGAATCAAATCCTGTGGAATCGTGACAAGTCGTTTCAACGTTTCATTGAAACGGCAGCCATTAAGTCCCTTAGATGTTGAGATATGTAACTGTCGATTTGACGCTTAGGCAGCGGCATTTTGAGAGAGAGAGAAAACCTTTGTTTTCCGAAGCAATGCAGGACAGAGCAAGCTGACTGCGTTGAAGGCGAAAATGTGCGTAGGTTTTGCGTGTGCGTTTGCCATCTATCTCTGAGCTGTACTGTATTCATTGCAAGTGAATAGCCGTCACCCTCTCCGGTTTGTCCGGTTAGGCTTCACGTTATGCTATGGAAATTAAAAAAGGCACAATATTTTGGTTTGTTTTTATGTCTCTTTCCCTTGTTGCAAATGTATGAAGTATGAAATTCTATCTATGTTGACACTTTGGTCGATTTCTGGGTCAACTGTCGCGCTTTGTTTGGATCGCATCCGAAGTGACTACATCGTGAGACTTAGAAACTAGTCAAGTTTACGTCGGTAGTGAGGCTTGGGTTTGGATCCAAGTTCGAGTTCGAGTTGGACTTCGAGTTGACGGGTCTGCAAGTGATTTTAAATCTTCTACCGTCAGAGTTAAGCTCTGACCAGGATATCTTTTAGTCACTTTCCCTTGCGAGATAATAAAAGGGTGGCTTCTCCATACATGTGCGACTTCAAAGTTGGTGCAAAATTAAATGCGAAATAAAGTGAAGTTTATGTTTAATGCGATTTAAACAATCCGACGAGATTTTAAGATAACGACCGCATTGTTTATGTCGCGTTAAACATTAACTGCTTTTTTAGCTTTGCTTTGTTGTGTTGTTGCGTTTTCGTTCGGAGGCAATTTTCTAACTGTGTTGAAACATATGATTTCGTTCCTAAAAGAGTTTGATGAATAAATTATTCTTTCTTTCGCTTCATCACTTCTATTACCGTACGAGACCAAAGCCAGCTCTTGTTAGCTTTAACTAATGACGGCACTATATTGCGCACTTAATATTAGTAGTGAAAATTTCGTGGAGGAAACTACGCATAGAACACAACAGCGCACAACAAACAACGGCCATCTTGGATAATGTGGGTTTTGTTACAGTGTTCTGAGCCTGATAATTTTCACCATTCGTTCTGAATTTTTTTATAACGTTAACCAAATTTGTTGATAATACAGTGTTACAAAGGCTAAAATTCTCGTTATGTTTTTAAAAATTGCTATCCTTTGAAATTTTGCTTTGCCTTTCATTCATACGCTAGGACCGATTACTAACCGAAATAGCTTTGAAGGATGTGATATACCCACCACTTTTTTTATTACGCCTTAGAATTTCATCTATGGATAAATACAAATAACTCGTATTTTCACTCTGAGCTCGAAAGAAACAGGAATGTTTGAATTATGAAAGTTAGCCTTCGCATTAGGAAAGTAAGGAAAATGAAGTAGTGTTGACATTGAATGCAGGCTTGACAACCGGCTCCTGGGAAATGGAAAATGAGGCCTTGGTTGAGTTGTTTTGGTGCAAACAACTCTTTACTTGAATCAAGTGGCAACTGAAATTTGAATGTGTTTCCTTGGGTCACTAAATAACGGAACAATAAAATTGATGTCTGATGTCTGAAAATTATGACAGATAACTAAATAACCCTGTAGCTCAGATATAGCAAAAACTTAACACGCGAAAAAAATCACACCCCTTGATTCGTTAGATGCCGCCTCGGTTGATTGAGAAAAAACATAAAGTCCTAACGTCCGCTTTCTACAAAGAGAATATTTGGGAAAACTGTTGATAGCTTTATAATTAAAGACTGTTAGAATCCGTCGTTAAACTATGTAAGCTCAAGCAAGACCCGCTTTTTTTTTTCTCCGAAAGAGAATATAGAACAAACCAAAAACAAAAAAATCGCAACTTCTCCATTGTGAGACTTGTGAGTAAAATATCACACGTCTCGTCTAACTCAAATACATGCTCTTGCAAAAACTAGAAATCATTCCTTTGATCATTATATCTTGTATCATCAACATAGTTACACGAATTCTGCGCTTTTGCAAAGCAGGATCCTCGTGTTAGGTAAACATGCTGGTTCTAAAAATGATGAGCGCCTCGTTTGAAAACAGCTGTGCGCCAGAAACAAGGTCTTTAATCGCCTCGAGGCTCTCCACAGAAAACCGTCACTTTCGATTGTATTTAACACCAGTAGTAAGACCAAAAAATATATTTGTACGTTGAAAAAACTGACTGGTAAAAACCAGGCGACTTGACTTACATATGGAAAGAGGTGGTTTAAATGAGTCACTGCAACAGGGATAAATTTAATTATTTTTGAATTTGCGAACCTTTGGCTCGATGCGCTAAACGAGGGTCAAGTCTACCCCTGGGTACACCGATGGAGATTGATTTTACTAGTGCATATTTACACTACCTACTCCCCCAGTGCAGCAAAATTGTCGCTCCGATAATTTTCTCGATCAGTTACGAGCTTTTCCGCCTCCCTTCGGCCAAAGTCCCTCAGGACTACCTATTACTCAGGACTTTTGTTTGGAAAGTTGACCCGGAACAATGAGCCATTTCTTGATACGTTGAATTTCTAAAAAAAAAATTTCCCATTATTTAGCTTGTGTTGCAGTCAGCCTAAACTAAGTGTTAGAGTTATTGAGAGAAAACTGTATCTTTGACTGTAAACAAAATACCTGTACATCTAAAGGAATATAAGACTATTCATTTGAGGGGTTTTTCCTTGAAAACCAAAGAATTGTGGCAATATCATAGATCGTACACTGACTACAAAACTATTCCCTTTACGAAGCAGTAGTTAAACAAATACATGAAAGCAAGTCCAAAAACAGCACAAGCAACAGAGCAGACTTTTGATAATTCCAATGAAATACTCCCACTCAATATCCTAAGGGCCTGTGCCTGACTAACTGTGATTTGTTGGTCAAACTGATCATTCATCATGATCATTTGTTAGGCAGGTGTTTACGCTCCTGGACAAAACAGAGCACTCGTACCAATAGAATCACTTTCAACAC